CCGGGCTGGGGATTCGAACCCGCCACCTTAGGTGTACGTGGCTGGCGCCTTAGCCGGTTGAGCTATAGGCGCCGAGCCAGGGCAGCAGGAAGTTAACCCTCCTCCTCAGGACTGACTTTTCCCTTCATGTGTCTCCTTCCCATTTCCCACCTGTCCCTGCCCCCTCACCAAATTCATCCCGGCACTCTGCAGAGCCTGCTGTACGGGCCCAGGCACCCGCTCAAACAAGTCTGCGCACAACTCCTCGAACTCCACTCGAGTCACTTTTGCCTTGAAATCCACATCGTCCATCAGCCCCTCGATCTGCAGGAGGATGAGGAGTGTCAGGGAGTTCTTGCCCAGGTCCTGCTCTCTGGGTGGGCAGGACAGAAACCAAGGGAATAGGACTTTGGAAGGATGGCAGAGGGATAAGAATGGGACAGGCCATGCCAGGCACAAGAAGCCAGGGTCCTCCACCCTCTGGGTTAGACAAGATTGCCCTCACACCAGATACATGCAGGCAGGCACCTGTGCCATGTGGTCAGCATTGGCACTCAGGACTGTTTTGAGCCGATTAGCTTCACGTAGCAGCTTGGCCATGGCACGTGGGTTTTCTCGCACATCCTTTGCTCTCTGGCCCTTGCGCTGCTCATTGAAAAGCCCAGCCAGGTGCTCACGCAGTCGGAGCTCCATCTCCAGGCCCCCCAGGGTACGGTCAAACCTGTTCAGAAAAGGAAGAAGAAAAAAGTATGAGGAACACACAGGGGCCCAACATCTGCACAGGAACCTGACTATCCCCTATGGCACTTGCACCATTTCTCACAGTGATAGTAATACACCCAATCATTTAACAGTATTTACTGAGCATCAGTTATGTGCTTGTCTTTGGGAACACAAATGTGACAGGAAGAATAGGGGAGAGATAGGGTCCCTGCTACCGAAAATGTGAACTTATAGCCTTATAAAAGTGAGGCTGACAATGCCAGCAGAATACGTGCCTGGGAGACATGAGCTATTGTGGATGTCCAGGGAAGCCTCCCTGAAAAAGTGATGCTTGAATTGAAACCTGAAGGATGAGCTAGAGTTAAGTAGGCGGACAGGAAAAAGTGTTCTGGATGTTGGAATAGCATTTGTAAAGACTCTGAGGTGGGAGAGAGTATAGCAAGTTCCAAATGAGGACAAGTTATCACTGGGGCTCAAAGAGCAAGAGGGCTCAGCCTCGGAGACAGGAGGTAGGGCCGAGACAGGCACAGAGAGTTTTAAAGTGACTGAAGGGGCAAGCATGGTGGCTCACGCCTGTAATCCTAGCACTCTGAGAGGCTGAGGTGGGTGGATTGCTTGAGCTCACAAGTGTGAGAGCAGCCTGAGCAAAAGTGAGACCCTCCTCCCCCGTCTCTACTAAAAATAGAAGAAAAAAAAAAAAGGCTTGGTGCCCATAGCACAGTGGTTGCAGTGTCAGCCACATACACTGTGGCTGGCGGGTTCAAGCCTGGCCCCAGCCAGCTAAGCAACAATGACAACTCCAACACAAAAAATAGCCAGGCATTGGTGGCAGCACGTGTGGCTCAGTGAGTAGGGTGCCAGCCCCATATACTAAGGGTGGCGGGTTTGAACCCAGCCCTGGCCAAACTGCACCAAAAAAAAAAGCCCTGCTTTGTGTTGGGCACCTGTAGTCCCAGCTATTCAGGAGGCTGAGAAAAGAATCGCCTAAGCCCAAGAGTTGGAGGTTAGGCGGCGCCTGTGGCTCAAAAAAAAGATTGAATCTGCCCAGTAGGGCACCGGTCCCATATGCCAAAGGTGGCGGGTTCAAACCCAGCCCTGGACAAATAAATAAATAAATAAATAAATTTAAAAAAAGAAAAAAAAAAAGAGTTGGAGGTTGCTGTGAGCTTTGACGTCACAGCCCTCTACTGAGGGCAACAAAATGAAACTCTGTCTCTAAAAAAATAATAAATAAAAAAAAAATAGCTGTGCGTTGTGGCAGGTACCTACTTGGGAGGCTGAGGCAAGAGAATCACTTAAGCCCAAGAGTTAGAGGTTGCTGTGAGCTGTGATGCCACGGCACTCTACCTACCTAGGGTGATGCAGTGAGACTCTGTATCAGAAAAAAATAAATAAATAACTGAGGTAAGAAAGGATCTCTTGAACTTAAAAGTTGGGAGTTTGCTGTGAGCTATGATGCCATGGCACTCTAACCAGGGCAACAGCTTGACTCTGTATCAAACAAACAAAAAAACCTGAGGCAAGAGAGGATCTCTCTCTCTCTTTTTTTTTTTTTTTTTTTTGGAGACAAGAGCCTCAAGCTATCTCCCTGGGTAGAGTGCAGTGGCATCAGAGCTCACAGCAACCTCCAACTCCTGGG